GGAGAGGGGGAGGGGAAAGGGGGAGGGGAAAGGGGGGGAGGTGACCCCAATGTATTAAGAGGTGGGGTCTTTGGGAGGTGATTAGGTCATGAGGGCACAGCCTTCATGAGATTAGTGCTCTTATAAAAGAGGCCCCAGGGAGCTTGTTTGTCCCTTCTGCCATGTGAGAATGGGCCCTTACCAGATACATCTGCTGGTGCCTTGATCTTGGACTTCCCAGACTCCAGAATAATGAACGATAAATTTCAGCTGTTTATAAATTACCCAGTCTAAGGTATTTTGCTGTAGCAGCCCAAACAGCCTAAGATACCACTCAACCAAAACAAAAAACAAACAAAAACAAAAAAACCAAAACATGAAGCAGAGATAAAATGTAATATAACAGCTCAATCTGAAGTAAATATCATTAAATATCATTTATAGACATGAGAAAGGTCCAAATCAGTTAGTCATGCAACACAAGGAACCTATAGGCAATATACCTTAGGAATACAAATGCAAAAATTCTTCATCATAATATAAGCAAGGTGACTCATGCAATACAGTATTCCCTCCTTATCCTCAGTTTCAACTTCCATGGTTTCAGTTATCCTTAGCCAACTGTAGTCTGAAAATATTAGATGGAACTCTCCAGAAATAAACAATTCATAAGTTTTAAATTGTGTGCCATTCTGAGTAGCATGAAGTCTCGCACTGTCTAGCTCTGTCCTGCTTGGGCCATGAATCATCCCTTTGTCCAGCATATCCACACTGGAGACAGTACCTGCCTGCCAGCCATCGACATCCTGTGCTCTTGACATCCAACCATCCACATTATCATTGCTCAAACCTGGATTGCCTAAAGCATACGATCCCCTTTCTGAAGTATCATCAGAAGGTCAAGAGTAGCCAAATGCTATGTCACAATGCCTATCTCATTCACTTCACTTCATCTCATCATGTAGGCATTCTATCACCTACATCATTACAAGAAGGGTGAGTACAATACAATAAGATATTTTGAGATAGAGAGACCACATTCACATAACTTTTATTACAGTATGTTATGATAATTGATCTGTTTTATTATTAGTTACTGTTGTTAATCTCTTACTGTTACTAATTTATAAGTTAAACTTTATTATAGGTGTGTATGTATAGGAAACAAATTATATATAGGAGTTATTACTATCTGCAGTTTTAGGCATCTACTCAGATATATCCCCCATAGATAAAGGTGGGACTGCTATATATTAAAAGAATAATACATTATGACCAAGTGGAGTTTATCCCAGGGGTCCATGACTGATTCAACTTTTGAAAAATCAATCAATGTAATTCACCATATTAACAGATTAAACAAGAAAAATGACATGGCTATATCGACTGATAAAAAAGTATTTGGAAAAATTCACAAGCATTCATGACTAAAAAAAAAAACCTCTCAGCAAACTAGGAATAAAAGTAATCTCCTCAATATGAAAAGGGGCATCTAGAAAAAAATTAGTTAACATCATACTTAATGATAAAAGACTGGATGCTTCCCCAGAAATCATCCCTCATCACCCATGATTCAGCATTTTACTGAAAGTGAGTGCAATAAGGAAAGAAAAATAAAAGGCATTCAGATTGGAATAGAAGAAATATTCACAGATGACATGACTGTCTAACTAGAAAATCCCAAGGAATCTACAAAAAAAGCTTCTACAACCAATAAGTGAGTTTAGCAAGACCTGGTAATATTTTTATACACTCAGTAATGAACAACTGGAAAACAGTTTGTTAAAAGTATCATGTTTCAATAGCTCCAATAACAACAACAAAGAAATATTGGTTTAAACCTAACAAAATATGTACAGAATCTGTACAATGAAAGCTACAAAATAGTGATGAATGAAAAAAATTTAAAGACATAAATAAATGAAGAGACATTCTGTGTCCATGTAGTAAATGACTCAAGTAAGTTAAGATGTCACTTCTTCCCAAATTGACTGATAGATTTAATGCAATCTCAATAAAAATCTCAGCAGGATTTTTTGCAAATTTAGAAAAGCTAATTTTAAAATACAGTCAGTTAATTTATGACAAAGGTGCAAAGGGAATTTTGGTAAACCGACAATCTTTTCAACAAATGATGCTGGAACTCTGGATAACTACATGCAAAAAAACTAACTTCAACCTATGCCTTGCACCATATGGATCATATAATTAAAAGTAAAATGTAAAACTATAAAACTCTTAGAGAAGAAAAATTGTCATGACCTCGGGTTAGAAAGAGTTCTTAGATACGACAACAAAAGCACAATCCATAACAGAAATAATTGATAAAGCTTCATCAAAATTAAAATTTCTCTGTGGAGGACAAACTGGGAGAAAATATTTGTACACAGAACATACAAAAAATCCTTAAGAGTCAATATTAAGAAAAAAATTTTAAACATGCAAAATATTTAATCAGACATTTCACCAAAGAAGATATAAAGATGTCAAATAAATATGTGAAAGGATGCTCCATATAATAATCATTACAGCAATGCAAATTAAGATCACAATATGCCACTATGCACATATTAGAATGACTCACATGAAAAATGTCAAGTATGTGCAGCAACTAGAATTTTTGATGCATTGCTAGCGAGAATGCAAAATGGTACAGACATTCTGGAAAAGAGTTTAGCAGTTTCATAAAAATGTTAAATACGGGCCGGCCTGGTGGCGCACTGGAGAGTGCGCCACTTGGGAGCGCGGCGGCGCTCCTGCCGAGGGTTCAGATCCCATGTGGAGACCAGTTCCCACTCACTGGCTGAGCGTGGTGCGGGTGCAACACCGAGGGTTGCGATCCCGTTGCCAGTCCCTGGTACAGGCGCGACACCAAGGGTTGCGATCCTGTTACCGGTCAGTAAAAAAGAGACAAAAAGGAAAAAAAAAATGTTAAATACATACCTACCATATATGCCCCAATCATCCCACTTCTAAGTAATTATTCTAATGACATGAAAATTTATGTTCATAGAGAAACCTGTACACAAAGTTGATAGCAACATTTATACATCAGTAAAAAACAGGAAACAACCCCACATGTCTTTCAAGGATACATAAATAAATAAACTATGGTACATCCACATAATGGAATACTACACAGCAATAATGAACTATTGATACACACAAAAACATGGATGAATCCCAACTGCATTATATTAAGTGAAAGAAGCCAGTCTCAAAAGATTATATACAATATGACTCCATTTATATTACATTCTGGAAAAGGTAAAACTATAGGGGCAAAGAAGATATTAATGACTGGCAGGTACTGGAGTTGAGAGAGTTTTACCCAAAAAAAAGCAGCACAAGATCATTCTTTGAAGTGTTGAAATTGTCTGTATCCTTCTTGTGGTGGTGGTGACAAAAGGCTATGTATGTGTTAATCCTAAGAGAACTGTATCCCAAAAAAGGAATGCATACAAATTTTAAAATTTTATATA